TGTATATATAATTCGCATAAATCATTCTCGGCTCTTTCTGAATTTTATACTTTAACTAGACACTGTTTGATTGTTACATTTGGCAATTCGGCAGCACTCGCGAGTTTTCAAGCTCCTTGTCTTGCGCGACTACGGAGCGATGTGCTGCACGCCACACGTTGAAAACTTTATTTAATTCCGGCTAATCACTTTGATAAGAATATAAACAAGAATGTTTGATCTTCGTGTCATGTAGAAATTACTGTTGCAACAAGATTGAGAGCTGTAATAGAGCTACATAATGCAAAGTTCATACCAGTGTGCAAATACGTGGCTCACGCCAGGAATTCTCGAAGGAATATTTAATAAATTTCTTTTTCTAGTCGTTTTCGACGTGGCATTTGTTAAAATTAAAAATGCATAGTAAAAGGAACTTTGATTAGAGCGAATTTGTCAGCGTGTCGGCGTATAGCAAAGCGCACCTCGCGGTAGTAATAATTCTGTTTTATTTTCCTACAGAACCGCGTTCTAGAACTTCGCCTCCTGCTACGACTACTTTCTCGCAACGTTATCGCAATTCTCAAGTGAAATGTCGGCTTTTTTATACGTATATATAACAATGATTCAATAAGGCATACGATATCCAATTAGGGACTCTCCCTTATTTATCACGAAACTTTTATGTGTATTCCTTGAAGTTTGGACATCTCTCGCTGTCTCTCTTTCTCTCTTTTCCTTTCAAGAAACTTTTTCGTAATCTCCTAGGTCCGCAAAAGTTGATATTTTTTTTTGGCCTAATGGCCAAGAAACGTAACGGATAGCCGTATATAAATTACTAGAGGGTATTACATGGGTTTGTAGTTTCATGTAGTCGCCTGACTATACATTTTCCTCGCATTTCTAGTACTTCCCGTCTTGTTTTGCGGCTTGTTAAATTCGTACCTCCGGGGCGAAGTTTGGAACGCAGCCAACGTAATATAAAGTTCTCTTCTTCACGTAGACGACGTTACTGTCTCGCTCCTTCCCTCCGTTCTTTGTCGATCGGCGGGGGCGAGTCGCCGTCGTGTACGCAACGTAACGCAACATAACGCATCGTAACACGACGTGTATATACACCTATCTAAAAACGGTCGCGGCACTGTGTGCGCGGCGCCTTATTACATTTTTTTATATTTCTTCTCTTTTTCTTTTTATCCCGATATATAATAACTTCTCGGTCTTCGTCTTATTCGTCTACTATACAAACTTTTGACTAGAACAACAGTAGATAGTCCTCGTACGCTCGTTTTGCTTTTACGTAAATGTGTTATTACTGTATTTTTCTGTCTTTTTTTTTTTTTATTCGTTTATCGTCGTGTGCCTGGAGGGGCTGACCGGCAGTGATGTTAGCCTCCGCGGAAAAGTCTCCAGATGTAGACATAGAGGCATATACGGCTCGCTCGATTAAACTACGATTTTAGTTTTTTACCGAAAATAGACACAGGTTGCTCTCGTCAATGATAAATACATATGTTTGTCATCTACTATATATTTCTTTTCTTCTTTTTGTTCTTTACACCGACACGCTCTAACATTTTAATAAATTCGATTTTCTACACCCAGCGAGCTTCTCGTCAGCTAATATCACTGAATTGACGGGAATGAAGAACTAAAAATGGAAGAATTTGGTATGGTCTCGCTTTTATTTCTTTCGAGTATCTTATTTTTCTTTTTTTCTTTTTTTTTTTTTTGTTAGATCAATTACAGGTCTGATTGCGGGGATTTCTGCTATCAGTGGAATATCCAATCGATCGGTAACCCAATTCGGATAGAAATTTATCAAACAACTTTGCGGAACGACCGATAAAATAGACCGCCTCGCGAAAATACGGCGATCAAGAAACTTTGGCAAGTTTAGTTCGCCGAGATCGTTTACGGCAATCGCTCTGTTTCCGGTTCCCCTCCATCGAGCACGGTGTTTATCTATCGTACGCAACAGGGTTATAGACACGTACACGTACACTCAAAACCTTACAGAGCTTACAGGATTACACGAATAGAAATACGTTTTGTTTCCTTGCGTTAGGGAAACGTCGGATTGACGACAAACTGGCGGTTTACCCTGCTAGAAAAATTGCGACAGAGAGTACCGGTTCGACGACTATCCGAACGAGAGTGCTATTTCCCTCGTTTTTCTCTCTCATTCCTACATTTCTCTCTCTCTCTCTCTCTCTCTCTCTCTCTCTTTCTCTCCCTTTTTTTTCTTTCTTTTTCACTCTCCCATCCGCTCACCTCGTTGACAATCACATGTTGCATTGACGTCATACAATTGAGTATTGCGCGCGTATTATTGTTTTCACGAGAAGCATCACGATCAGTTCAACGAGCTTGATTATCGTCGCGCTTGTATAAAAATAATTCCCTATTTCCCCCGCGACATTGGCTTTCCCTCGACAGTCTCCTGAGTTGCGAGTTATGCAGTTCACCCTGATCGATCGAAACGAGTTTCTCCGCTCGTTTACTCCTTTGTGCGATATAGATCACCATGCGTCCTTATTCCAAGTTCGACCACTCGAGATCCCGAGATCTCGAGCGATTTCACGAACGCCATTTAGGACGCCACGAATGTCTTAAACGAGGAAGTGCATTTGCTTGTTTTCGTTGTTAAATGGATCACGGATGTCGATGTGCGCCTATCGTGTTACGAGGAGGATGCTTGCTACGAGGAAATTTGACCGAAAATATGGCTGAGTAACGGAAAACAATGAAATCACCCAATCTTCTTCGATTAAATAAGATAATTCGTGATGGAATGCAACTTGCGATGCCAGATAAATCGCGCGTGGAATCTTTGATGCATCAGAATGCTGGTAGTTGTACGAAGTTCGCAATGCAGTTAAATGAAATTTCAGATAAATCCGGCTGAGCGCATATATGCATTGTTCGCGAACTTATTCTGGAACATGACGGGATAGACAGACGTCTGAAATATGTCAGTAGATGAGATCGCAGGTAGAGTTAAACTAAAGTCACCGTCGGCCTTGTCTCGTCTTCGGCTATGGATCGCAGACGCATCTTTCAAACCGACCCAGGTTCCGTGCTTGCCACGGAGTGTACCACATAGTCGACGTAAAATGCCTTCGATTTAGACTGCCTTAAGATGAGTTTGCTCCGGTTCCGGACAAGAGTCACCACCGTAATATCGAAAATCTCCGATATTTCTCGCATTCGAACGGAAATATTTTTCGTCGTTCTTCTTCCATTTCTCGTTTATACGTTTCTCTTTCTTTTTCATCGGATAAGTTTTATTTTTTACGTTATAGATTTTCTTTACGTTATTCTTGTAATTTTTAAGGATTACGGTCTGTAATTTTATTTGTATTTTTAAAATTTTGTATTAAAATTCAAACTTTTAAATATTTTTGTAACAATTGCATACAACGATTTTTGCATCCATAAATTATAATTGAGTTCATTATCCGATATTACGGATAATGAATACGATATACGATTGAATCTTCAAATTCATATAAAATTATTTTAATAGGCGATAAGATCCCAGAAAAGAAGAGATTATGTTTTAAAGGTATGACAGGGTGAACAGATAAAGTTCAATTTTTCAGGCAAATGATTTCCTCGGATGTCGACATTCTGGATTTAGTTTTGTGTCCCGATAAAAACAGGTCGAAGGACATGCTCACTACGAAAGACGCAGCCTAAAAGAGCGTTTCTTGGGACCATATTGGCGGGATTGATGGCAATGGCGCTGGTGGTGGTCTGTGCCTCAACTCGATCGGCGGTGAACACGGTGGAGATTCCACGCTACTCTGACTGCTACTGGTTGTCGTTGAGGCTGGTTGCGATCTGTTATCAAGTATTTATTAATTAGAAAAATTAAAAAGAAAAATTAAAAAAGATATATTGAAATAACACAAACTTATAGAAGGAAAAGAAGAAAACTAAAAGAAGAATCAAGTGCAAATATATATATATGACAAATTTATGAAAATGGAGATAATAATTAGATCCTTTTATGACGTGCCCTTCGATAACAACGTTTTGTTCTTTTCTTCAATCTTATTATTTCAATGATAAGAACTTGAAGCAAATCAAAATGACTAGTTTCTTTATAATTATTAAATTTATACATGTTTATTATATAACTCGTTAGCAGCAAAATCTTATACGTTTAAATACGCAGCGATTTTTACGATAACAATATTTATCTTTTTCATGTAACAATTCGTAATAGGAATCTACCTGGAGGTTTCGACGGCGGCACTGATGGTCAAACATTCTTGGCAGGGTTTATTACCGGCCCGTCGCCTGGGCACGCAGCCCGCGCATCCGTCCCATTTCTCCGGGATCCGTTTTTTCCTAGAAGGCACCCGTAGGAACCGCCGACAACTCGGTCCAGGCGCGTCCGAGTCCGTGGAGAAACCCGAGACCTCGTCCTCCGTGTCGACGCATTGCTCGTCGTCTTCATTCTTTAGGAAGACGGAATCGGAGCCGAGCGACCTGGTGTCCGGCTCGGGGGGATCCACACTGCCCATCGACGCCAACGGCGCTCTTTTGCCCGACGACGCCGCAATAAGGCTGCCGACTGCACCGGCGTAAAGACCGGCCTCACTACCGCATGGTGATAAATCTGGAGTTGGCTGTATTACCTATTTACATAACGAAAATTTTTAATAAATTTTGAAGAATAACGTCTTGATACCTTTTAAATGTTCAATTAATTTTTATTTATTATTCGTAACTGTAAATTGTAAATTTGTAATTGTAAATTTTTATTTATTATTTGAAACTAAATTATCATTTGAAACGGAATAGTAAAGTAATTATGATTTATTATGATAGAACTATAATAATAAGTAATTGCATTATTTAAAATATATTTTAATAATTATGTTTAAAGTAATTATAAAATATATAGAAACCGAAAAAAAATGCAGAACAATTTAGTCTCAACAAGTGAGATTAAAGAATCTATCACGGAGAATTAAGAATTAGAAAAAAATGCCACTTTGCAGTCGTAAATATTTAGTTATTTAGTTATTTAGTAATCTACCTGGATATCGATAGGGTAATATAAATCCCATGGCTCATCGTAGGCGGCGTGACGCGGGTAGGATGGAGGAGGCGGAAGGCACGGCATCACCATGGCTGAACCCCTTCGTTCCAGATAACTACTTCCAGTGCTGCTACAGGTGACCGAGCTACATCTTCTGTGATCGACCGGGGGAGCCAATCTCGGTTGTCTGATTGGCGGTGCCAGCAGGGCGTCGTATCCACCTCCGACTGAGGCGAAGCGAGGTGCCACCATGGGTGAACGAGACTGGTTCATCTGATGTAAATATTTCTTTCAATTACAAGTGTGTTTTGCGAACGGACACATCACAAATTGAACGTAATTTGTTAAATGGAGAGCACTTTCCGAAATGTGCTATGGCACTTTTGGCGTCAATCCAAATTTTTATGTTCTTTTATATTATGTCAGAAAATGGAAAACTGTATTATTTGAAAAAAACTGCAGAACTAACTAAGTGATATTTTAACGTAAAATCTTCTCATAAATAATACCTAATTGCGATACGCAATTATGAGCTGATAAAATTTATCTGATAATAAACATCGATATTGAGTTTTATAATTTCTTGCAAATAGAGAAGAAAATATAGCTTTAAAATACATAAATTAATTTCTTATAATAAAACTAAAACATTGATGATTTTATACTTAATGGTAATGACTTCAAAGAGGTATTTCAAAGACTGTGCTTCATTTTAGAGACGTGCTTGTTAATTATATTAAAGGAATATTTAAGATTATTACAACATACCTCGACGCACAACGACCTTCTTGGACCACGACCCGGCCTGGGTGGTAACCTGGCGATTGCCTCAAGAGCGGCGGCGAGTGCCTGTTCTTCGGCTTCAGCTTCCGCGACCGCTGCAGCTGCCGCTGCGGTCAAAGCCGGATCTTCCAGTTGTTTGCTTGCTTTGCATCTAGTAAATATATAAACGATTTTCTAATTGTGCTTTAATGACAACATAAGCATCTAATCATGTTAGCTAAAATTACCTGCTCTTGTAAACTACCAGCAACACCATTAAGCTGAAGAAGCCGCCGAGGGTCGCGGCGATTCGTATTCCCGTCATGACGTCGTACGTTTTGTAGAATTCGATTTTGACCTGTTCGCGCTCGCTCAGAGTCGGCGTTGCGTCTGGCAGGAACGTCGTCGGATCTGTCGTCGTCGTCCCTGTCACGTTGCTGCCGACACTCCCCATTCCTGCAAATCAAACAGATTCGTTGTCGTTACACGTGCGCGAGAAGAAAAGAGGAATATATAGATTTGCGGATTCGAGCAGAATGCTGATACTCTGCAAATTGTGTTTGAACTGAATGTAAGATGTCTGTAAATTTGTTTGTGAACATTCTCAAAAAGATAGATTTCAGTTCCGAAGCTTGTAAGAGACCCTCTGTGAAATGGGCTGTTACGTGGGAGTGAAATATAGGAAAAATGGATAAAAGGCTTCCTTACTTGTCTATCAATTTAAATTTATTTATCGATTTAACTGTAAACATCAAACTGACGATGAAAGAGAATAAAATGGAAAGGAAGTACAATCACATTTGAAGGAATTGAATTACTTGCAAGTACTTTAGGGGAAGGAAAGTGCATAAGCTGTAAATCACATCGAGAGCATTTGTTTACCGAACTGTGTCGGCCAACGTGCGCTGGCTGGGCTCGAAAATGGAGTGACGGCGCTGAATTTCCTGGAACAGAATGAAGGCGCGCCGTCAAAAGGGGAGCTGGTATTCACCCGGCAGGATTTTACATTATTCCGAAAGTAAAAGAAAAAAAAAGAGGAAAAAAGTGAACCAAGTGAAGAAAATCGGCGCAAATAAGAGTAGGGACATATGCGGAGGAGTCAGAAGGGGAGAGGGAGAAAGGAGAGGAGTTTTAAAGAGGAACACACACGAGAAGAGGGCCACAACCATTGAGCAACAGTCGACGGAGAAAATGAGAGGTATAGGGTGGTACGTACACATTGCTCTCGTCGGGCTTGGCCGGCTAGCATTGTGTACGTAGAGATGGTTGTAGGTTCACGTATTGATTCCACCTTCGCGAACCTACTTCTCCAATGGTTAGGCGCAACGAAGCGTACGGCATCTGAACGAATCTATCAAGTCCAAAATTTTTTCTAGAACGGCGCCATTCGCTTGTCATCAAGCTTTTCAGGAGATTTACATTATGAGGTTTCTTACTAGATCTTGTTAAAAGAAATAGAAAAAAAGAAAGTGGAAAGAAACTATTGTTCACAAAATGTAACTTATTTCGCCATTATTACGGACGCGACGCGGATCTGTTGGTTTCAGAGAGGTTTGTACCTATATTGTTGCAAAAACTGGACAGTAATTTTTGTAACTGACAAAAATTTTTAATATATTATTTTCAGTTTTTACGACCGTCGGAATCACAAATAGCATGATGAGATTCTTCTTCTTCAAAGAGGTTGTAAGAGATCTATTTAACGATGCAAAAATGTGCTGTAGAATCTAGTAACTTTAATATTTCGAGAGAGCGAATAAATATTAATATCTAAGTATAGCATAGAGTAAATAAATAAGAAATGAATAAATTTTTCATCGATTTAATATCTGAGTTTGAAAAAAACCAGTGACGCATAAAATTGCATATTGATTACTACTCACTCTTTTGTAACCTTTTCATAAAGTTAGTCTGACCTTTCACATTATTAAATTAATATTAATAAAAATTTAAAAATTATTAATGGTTAAATATTTTAAAAAATTTTTGCTATTTTCGAAAAATTGATATTATAAAAAAATATCAAAGGACTAGCTTTGTAAAAAGCTGGATTTCATTTATTTCGCTGATACGCGTTTCAAACTTATACGCGAGTATCGAACTACACGACTATCTGCCCGATGACCGAAAAATTTCCTATTTATTTGCTGAATTCAATATTTCAGATTGCTGGGAGAAATATCGAGTTCTTACATTTCATCGGGCATTTTTATGCTTTTATGCTCGACGAAATTTAACAAGTTTCTTCGTTTGAGAAAGCTAAAAATAATTTAACGAGACGATAATGATTTGATAAGAGATATCGTCGCCCTTGAAATATCTTCGCTTCCTCTCCATTGATTCAACGTCCTTAATCACTCGAGTTAGGTCAGATTAGGTCACGACAACCTGTGGATGCTCCACGTTCGAGAAGATTGTTCCATGTGCTCTCACCAACCGTACCCCCCGTAAAATTAACGGCGCAGTAAATCCCCCAGTGGGTTTCCACAGAATTCTCACCACGTAGCGAAAGCTATTTACTATTTGTTATACAAGACGACCGAAAAGAAGAGTCTTAGATGCAGAGATGCAAAATTACCATAAAGATATTATTTCTATTAAAATTTCTCGTAATTAGCATATTTTCTTACTGTCTCTTATTATTACATTGCTAATTGCCGCTCGATATATAAGATGTTCCAATAAAAATATGTGATATATAGGATGTTTCAACAAGCCATTTTTCACTTATAAATTTTTTATAACAAAATATATATATATATATATATACATTTAATATTAAGTAATAATTTTTCTTAATGTTTTTTGCTATAGAAAAAGATTGATGTTAAATAGAAATATGACGAAAAGCAACCTATTAGGTCATCCATAATACAAAGAGGATGAAAGTAAAATAAAACTTTCTTATACCAAGGTTCTTTTTTTAAATCTATGTATTTTTTTATCATTAATTTTTTTTTAAATTAATTTCTGGAAGAATGTTTATATAATTTACGTGCGTATAAATTTCTCTAATCTTGTAATCTTTTCACAATTCATACATTTTAATTTTTTAATCGGCGAGTAAAGCTACTTTTCGAGCGATTCTCCCAGTGCTACGGTGTACACGGTGCATTCCTACATAGTAGGAATGCACGTTAGAGAATCAGCATTGCATTACATCTTCAGCTTAACTGCATCGGTAGCTCCTGCATAACACGCGATTGAGCATATCGACTTACGCGTTACCCGTTATGCGTTCTAACGATCGCACCGTGCGGCTTACATATAGCACCGCCGATGAAATTTTGAAGGGGATTGCCGAGGTAGATCCTGCTGCGCGCATGTGCTATTAAGCGGCATTAAATTTGCGTACAATGCAGCCCGAGAGTCTGCCGGAACAGCGAAGGTATAATATTAGACGGGCGTGGTATAATCAAACGGCTACGTTCCAACGAAGTCAAACATACAGATCGGTCTTCGTTCTTTGGTACCGTTTTGCTCAAAGGAAGTAGGATAATCTGTACCTTTCGAGCCTCTCCTCCTCTTTCCACGTTGACGACGAAGCGAATTACAAGCCTGTAAATCAGTTGGGGAGTCATTTTGTCTTCTCCCAGCCGGAATTCAAAGTCAGCACTTTTCGCAATTATTAACTCGTTCAGTGAAGCAGAGAAATCCCAGGTGAAGATTCTATTATTTGAATGTATTGAAAAAAATTGAACGTTCATATGTAAAAGAATTATTTGAATTTCATTTAAAAAAAAACGATGAAAAAAGCAAAAAAGCAATTTTTAAAATTTTTGTCTTTCACGAGGGAAAGGAACGAGCATAATTCTAGGATTTAAATATATATCTTTTTATTTTAATATATTTGAGAAATTTTAGTTGGTGATAAATTTTTGAATGTTAAATAATTTTAAAATCTTTGTAGTATCAAAAGAAATATGTTGATTATTTTAATCATTTAGATATTCATTCAAATAGAATTGGACGTATTATTAAGATGAATTTTTATTCAGTTCGTTGAATAAAATTTCATTCGGAAGATGGAACTTTTTGGGAAGCTGCGTGCCAAGAGGTCTCGCTGAGACTTGTACGTAACTTTCTGAAACGCAAATTTGCGCCGCGCCTAACTTTCGCGAGAATGCGCGGGCGCGCGCAACGTCCGAGGCGTATCGACGTCCGAAAACTCGGTCCAGGTGAGAAAGTTACGGGGTGAGCAGATAACTTTTAAATATTCGCAAAAGTTTGCGCTACGCGTAAATACCGCGACGTGGGAATCGTCGGGAGACGTTTTTCCATTTAGTTCGCGAAACTGGGTGGGTGAGTCTTATCGACATCCGGCAAACGCCATTTTTCCTCTTTGACACCCGGCAGGCGCGTGTTATCATTTCCACGTCGGCAAACGGTCAAAAAGGACTGGCGCGACATTGGGACGAAAATGGGTCGTCCGATAATTCGTCCCCTCGAAAACACCGTTACGATATGTATGGATTTGGGTTAACTTCGTTTTGGCGATTTCGCAGTCACGGTGCGCGCATGTCTTTCGTTCATGATGCTTGGAGACAATATAAAATTCTTAAGTAAATGTATCTTTCATTATATAAAATAAAAAATTTGATTGATAAAAATAAATATGTTTTCTTGAGTCTTCGAAACATCTGTAATTTTTACATTAAAAAAGTAGTAATCTACTTTTATTAAATATAAAAAGATTTATACGTGTGAAAAATGAGGGAATCTTAATTAGCATGTTATACATTATATGTATACATTATATAGCTTTAATCATTTTAAATATATTGTAATTTTTATATTATGTAAATTTATTGTTCTCATATTTAAATATTTATTTAAATATTTATTTAAATATTTATTTATTAATAACAAGCTTTGTCGTATACATATTTCGGAACTAAATATCTTTCTTACTAAATGATATATCGGATTTTTAAATTGTGAATATTTTAAGCGTTAAATGCTATATATGCGTATCTAATAATATGACTTGAGTGGATATAGGATTAATGAGAATATAAATTAATGCGATTATAATATAGTACGGCACATAAATAAAAAAAGATTAAAAATATTTAATAATGCAATTTTTCGTATGAACCAATAAAATTAGAATTATAATACACATAATATAATGCATCATTCTAAAATAGTACATATTATATTAAATATAGCACATATAATATTAAATTAAAAAGAATGTTTTTTTTATAGATTGTAAAATTGTTTATCTGTTCATTACGATGCGATGCAACATTATTTTACGCTGCCTTTGCAAAATTTTGTTTATCAATTCGATAAGTGACACTTTAATATTATTACAGAGTGTTATCTATATATTCTCATATATTCCATTTTACCTTATCGCTTTGAAAAGATTTGAGTGCCGATATCGACACGTATCGAACTCTCTGACGTTTTGCGTATAAAAGTACGTAGTATAAAAGTACGCGATATTGTTTTGCGTGATATCGAAATGAGCAAAAGAATTAAAAGAATATTGGACGTGGGAACGTGCCGGCCGATAATCCGATCCCAGAAAAGCGTACGTCTCGAAGCGCCACGGATTTGGGTCACTGGTTCGAGGCCTGTTGAATGCCAGACCATTTTGACGATTTCGCTACCGCTTCGTGGATTATGATCTTTGCTAAAATCTCTCGACGACCAACGATGTATACCATTTGAATATCAAGACTCGGACTAAGAGGGAAAGAGCTGAAGAATCACGGATCAACTCGGCGGACGGATTTGTCTTGTTGCACGATTTCATCGTTGTCTCTTGTGAAAATGAGACCATTTAATGTTATGAAAGTTTCAGTTTTAAGGATTTGTAAATAATCTCAAAAATTCAAATAACTCTATCTAAGTTCTTTCCTTGCAATATCAATAATATTCGAGTTATTCTTGAAAGAATATCCTTTAAAACTGGATTTTGAAGCTGGATTTA